TTATTGGCTTATCACAAATAGCATGTGGATACTTCTCTCGAATCTCTTTTAAACTCTCAACATCATTTCCATTTGACATTAATGGATCTTCAGTGTTATACCAAACTGTCCATGTGGCTGATGTCGCATCGCATTGCCTGATGTCACCATCAACAACTAAAATCTGCGGAGCCGTTTGAACAGCAACAGCAACAACAGACAATAATGACAGCACGATGAAATAAAAGGACATTTTTCTTTTACTATCGAAAAAGCTTGTAATTAATTTTTGTAACGTAACCTAATGTTTTATTTTCGAAAATGAAATACGACGTCTAATCTCTCAATTTCAGTTTTGACACACATACATTAGTGAATCAGCAACTGTTTTTATTCTTGATTGAAACCTGATCTTCGTCAATGAATTTGAATGTCAACACAGTCACGAATATGAAATAGAACACCCATATTGAGATCAAGCCACCTGTTGAAAAAGTTATAATTTACTTTCAAACGTTTCAAAGCACTTCATAGGTCTTAAACAGGTCGTAGAAAAATATTAGTTATATTAAAACTTTAATCACTGAATCTCATTATCGATCGCATTTTGGATGCTCGTCTCGGAGCAGCGAAGGTCCTCTGGTTTTCAATCGCTTTTTTGAGGAGCGTCAAGTTCTGATCTATCCAATTTGTAGAGCATGTCGACTTACCTATATAAAAAGCTTTTTTCGACCATCGCATCGCATCTATCCTGATCGACTTCTAAAGCTTTAAAAATTTATCGTTAACCCCTTGGCATAGTATTATTTTCCTTATTCAAGATACCAAAAGTGAAAATCCTTTCGGATGAGAGGGTTCGGATTTTTCTTTTAACTTGAACAAAGCTTAAAAATACATTAGACGCAGTTTTTTATGGTGATTACAAACCTGGACTCAAAACCAAATGAAAGTCAAATCTTTGTGGTGAAAATTTAAATTTTTAAATGTTAAATTTAGTTTCTTGACCTAGATATTTTTTCTAAAAATTCTGAAAAATATACCGTCGGATTGAGAATCAAATCCTGCACCAAAGGGCTCATTTGTTTTGACGTCTAGATGCCAAATTTTTTTTTCTAAAAAAGGTTTTGGCGCTTTTTTTGTGAGCAGTTTTATGCCCATTTAATCTACCTTTAAAAATTCACGTTTGGCTGCATGGGATGATAGGCACCTCAAAGATCAGAGCTTGCTAAGTAGTTCTGTGACAGAAAAAATATATACCAAATCATCTGCAAAGAAGAGCAAGAAATGGTGAAATTCCTTAACGGTCACTGTTATTTGATTTCCTCGGGCAGGGAACTAATTCAAAAAACAGTCGGTAGTGATTCTGATAGACCAACCTGTGAACTTTAATTTTATAATCAAACAATCATTTTAAAATTAATTTAAGGCTTTAAGGCTTCAAAGTGAAAAGATATATCTATCCACATAGGCAAGCCATATCTATCCATGTCCATGTGTTTTCAGAAAAGAAAAACATATGTATGAAGTAAGAGAAAAAGTCATCTTATGAGCCATTACAGATAAGCGACGACCAAGTACTGTAGAAGCTATTCAATCATGTAGGATAAGTTAGCTTGATATTCTAATATTCTAAGATTCGGAATTAAATCTTTAACTTTCGAAGAAGAGGAACTCTCATTAATGGGCTCAAACTGAACGGTTTGTGCAAAGAGCATTCTAGTGACAAAAGTCGACTTTGATTCTTCGAAGATTGGAATCGAATCCTTTAGCTGAAGATAAGCGGTCTCAATCAGTTCGTTTTGCTCAGACATGGCAATGAAATCAAAGTTCAAGTCATTATTAGCAATTCGATGCATTGAACTTTTGAGTCTTTCATAACGATGTTCAATATCTTTAGCAATATTATAACAAACCTGATCATCAGTGAAACCTTGAAAATTTTTCATTTTAGCTATGATACTCCTGGCGGTCTTTTCCAGTGTTCAGTATTATATTCACTCCGTTCAAATCGTTTAGCTAATTCAAGTGTCGTTTGTGTCACATTAAACAAAGAACGTCGAAGGGTTACAAGTTTTTGTGACGTAGCAAATATCGTATTCTCCAAAAGTGTATCGTATTCTTTCGTAAGTGCTCCAACCACACCGAATATGAATATGGCAAAAATGAAACACGCCACGAATAAGAATCTTGTTGATTCTTTGTCAACTGCTCTTTTTGGGCCTTTCTGCGCTGACGTTTTATTTACATTTGAACCCTTTCTTCCCATTCTCAATAGGATTATATTCTTTTCTTTGCATTACTCATATTACTTTCACAATGGGAAAACTAATAAAATGCATTTTTCTCAACTAATATGGATTGAATAAACGAGATGAAGATATACTTCAATTATGCGGCCAAGGCGATCAAGAACGAAATGCACTTCGCACTGTGCAAACTGTTGTTTTGACACTTTTATATCGTCAGAATGAAAACACTCCAGTTCGTTTAATTCGTTAAGTTCGTAAATGCATACTGTTGGGGGCATTTTACGAATTGAGTCCATTTGACGAATTTCGTAAACACACATTGCTAGATCCAAGTTTTATACTACTCACTGATCTTCATGTTCCAAGGATTCGCAAATGCGATGTGTTTTATGGAATTAGGCAATTCGTAAATACACCTTGCTGGGCGTGGACGAATCGCAGGAATTTCAAAATTAGATGTTACAGCTACTTCTCAACGTTTTACGAATTCGCAAATACACTTCGCTGTGGACGCATGAATTCATAGAACGCGGGTTGATCAGATTGCTAGGCGTATGTATGATTTCGTAAGAAATGGTTGGTAGAGTTTTTCTGTTTGGCGAATTGCATACTGCGATTACTTCGTACGTTAATACTACAAAGTTGCAGGTGAGCAGCTATGCTAACTATCAAAGTTCCAAAACCTTTCACCTCTAGATGGAGAAATCTGCAAATTGCTTGCAGATTGCTTGCCCTTTGTACTTTGCAAAGAATTCGTATGCAAAATCTGAGAATTTGCACGTTCACTGCTGTTGAAGTAGATTAAAAGCGAAAAACTTTTTGCTTTAGATCAAAAAATCTCCAAATAGCGCGCACTTAGCATATTGCAATCAGTTCGCATGAAAATGTGAGAATTCATAAGCGGATAGCTAGGATAATTATCCGAAGTTGAAGTGGAAAAGTACTTGAAAACGTCCTGATTTCGTCTTCCACTATATATCATATGTAGGCATCTGTGAATTCGCAGCATTTCACGCGAATTAGATGCAATGTGAAGAGTGCAAGCATATCTAGTCATCTATGAACAGTGCAAGCATTGTGCAGATTTTAACAGCCGGCAGGAAGCTGATTTCGTCTAGTCAATAACCTGGTGGCTAATTCCGGTATCTTCCACACGTATTCATGTACGAGTTCGCAGAATTCTTCTCGAATTAACTGCTCTGTGCAAAGTGCAAGCAATATGCAGATTTTTCGAGCGGTATGGAAACTTTTTGTGACTGTATGTGTTCCACATTGTTGGATTTCGTTGGACAGTTGTAAGTGCGCATTTTTATAATTGACACATAATTTTTAGTATGTTTATTGAACAATTTGCATAGTTCGGTGAACTCGATTTTGCACGCTTTTTCTTGTTGACACACGCTCGACAGAGAATATTTAATCAAAATATTAAATTTCACTTATGTCACAGTGGCAAAAGGAATAAAATGTATTTTGCTCAAATAATATGGATTGAATAAACGAGATGAAGATATATTTGGATAGGCCTCGTCGAGTTCTAAATGACACATTACTTTTCCTTGCTGACACACGTTCGACAGAGAATATTTGATGATAATAATAATTTTTATGTTTTTAGTATAGTCTTGAATGTGGATTAAGCAGTGAAACAAAAATATTGTACTTTCCTGCGAAACAATGGATCGTACAAAAGATCTGAACATGTATTTGCTTGTCAAACTGCATTTGACGAGTCTGTTTTCAGCCGTGACACACGTCTGTGAGAGAATCTTTAGTACAAACAAGGTGTAATAGTACTAGTTTTCTCAGTATTTTTCACTTTTCAGATTTGCAGAAGCTGCTCCCGTAACATGAAGTATACCATTCGATAGAGCTCGCCGAAATCTATAAGACACACTATCTTTTATCAATGACACAGTCCAGTGAGAGAATATTTGCCAAGAATACCGGTTTGTTAAATGTGTTCCCGTAGAACATGTTACTGTTTGCTCAGTAACAGTGTCTCATGGAAGGATCTGTTTATTCCGAGTAGTGCAGTTATGTAGAGCTCATTGAGTTCTCTATGACGCACGTTTGTGTGAGAATGTTTCCTAAAATTATCAGAATATCAAGCTAACTTATCCTACGTCGCAATCATGACTTTTAATATTTCCAGAACTTTTAACACCGTCGTTAACAGCCAGTTGTACACTGTGATCTAAAGACAATATCTGCTTAAAATCAAATATCATGAATGCTTCACCATCACTTTATTTATTAAGAATAAGTTCTATTCGAATTACCTCCAAAATCATTACAAAACTTACGCAATTTAGTAATCAGCTGTATTATAATTAAAATCTGATAATAATTTAATTATTCGATAGCAGACGTGATGCTCTATCAAATACGCTATTTTAAAAAAAATCGATAAAGTTCACCAAAATAACCTTTTTCTGAGTGGGGGGTGTGCCTTAAATTTACTTTTTTAAAAATCTTTTAGAAAAATCTGTTTAAACTAATTTGATAATTGAGATATTTATCTCAAAAACTAAAACCCGATTTATTGGGGTAGAAATAAATTTAAATAGATTTGTCACACAAAAAGTTACGCAGAATGAATTTAAATAAATCGTTTTAAAAATTAGTTTAAACAGATTTTTTCACAGGGCGAACCGTAGATAGAGTAGAACAATATATTTCTTGAAATTTTATAGTAAATTGTATTGATCTTAGATGAACTACGAATTTTCTGATTCGCGCCAAACTGACGAAAATATAGGTCATTTTTTTAGCAGTCCAAATACTTAAAAATAGACATAGATTTTGAGTCATAATGAGAATAAGCATTGTTACGAGGTTCAGTGTTGTTGATAATCTATGTTTCAGCCATTTTCAAGATACTCAGAGATTGTCTCACGAAAAGATGCATTTAAGTTATGACCATCGCTTACTGCACACTGCAAATTTCTCCCGCAATTCTATCAAAATACTCAGAAATGATCATTACACTGTTTGCTTCAATGGATAATAAACACAATGTTTTTGTTATTTTGTTCATCTCCATGCATATTCTTTACACGTATCTTTCATCTTCCATCACAATTATATTACAAGCAACTTTTATTATAAATGATTTTGTTTGGACAACGAAAACATTCCAGAACATTCTTTTGATTCTATACGGTTCCAGTGACTTAATTTTTCTTGTTCAATTGTTAATTTATTAGTTGTTGGACTTGATGTTGTTGTCGTTTGTTCATCATATTTTGTTGAAAACTTTTGTAAAAACTCGAGGATGAAGATGTTTGCGACAATATTGAAGTTTGTGAATTAGGTGCCACTTTTATTGTGACACGTGACTGACTGATATAGATTAACCCACTGATAGAGTCTTTCTCACAAAAGCGTTCCTTGTGAAAAAAGACATTTGAAATATGTTTTCAATTCGCCACTTTCCACAATAAACTATTTCAAAAATGCTTCAGTGCGTAGATGAACGTACTTGCTTTTTAACATTTAATTAAAGATAATGTTTAAGTCTTTTTTTTATATCATTTCGACACATATGACATATTTTTAATTGATTTGAACAATTCGAACAACACCGATGCCCACAAGCAAACATAATCGTACTTTCGTTATTTAAACATATCTGACATTGATGACGATCTTTCACTTGTCGTATAGTAAACTCTAATTGTTCAATTTTCTTACGCAATTCTTCTATAGATGGATTTGAATAATCATGATATAACTTGTAACAATCCAAACCTTTAAATAAAAGCCAAAAAGAAAAATATAATTTCATTCAATTCACGAGGATTGATAAATTCTTCAAATTTCAGAGAATTCTTATAAATTATGATATTGAATTCTCTTCAGATGAACCTAAGGTGCTAGATGACATAATTTCTTCGGCGCTTTATCCTTTCACTTTTTTTTAACAAAAATGTGAGTCGAAGAACTCATTGATAGGAAAGTCGATACATATTCAGATGCCAGCTTGAAGTTCATTGGTCATTTAAAATGACTTCACATGTACATATGACAGTGCATATAAAAGTAGTACGTATAGGATAAGCATATGCAATCAAATGAGTGAACTATTACAGTATTTTAAGGATGTACCACATGTTTTCTGCTTGAGACGCACTAAGAGAAAAGTTGAAGTAATTTTTTTCTTTGAGTTTTATGAAAGACTGTACAGTTTCAGTAGTCGAATAGGTTGATGATGAAAATCACATTGAAGGTTGGATATCTTCATAGAAAAAGAAGAAAAATATGTTTTATTGCTCCATGTTTGTCAATCATGTATAAAATGTGTACGTCAATCCTTTTTACAATTGAATAATAAAGAAAAAACACTTAAGTGTGAGCTAATTCTATTGTAAAACGCCATTCCACACACAAAATACACTCTTTATGTATGTTTTTCAGCTCAAGAAGAATTAGATTTAGATAAATTCAGATATCAGCTTTTTTTATTGAGACTAGATATGCATCTTTATTGGTATACCGAATACGGCTTTTTATACGTTCAGAATGTCTATGACGATAAAGTATCTCATTTCAAATGAAAAAATTCAAAAAGGTCGAAATCGGAAAATGTAGGAATATTCGGTATCAGTATATATCAAAAATGGGTATTTTCGAAATTGGTATTTCGGTATGAATACTAATGCCGGTACATACATAAATAAGGCCTAGATGTGTTGCAAAATGTTAGATACATTTGACTGCACCAGGTTCAAATATATAACTAAAAATTTGAAAGAAACATTGCCGCCATAATTTTCTCAATCTTAGAAGATATCAATCTAAAGATTAAACATTCTGCGATTTGTATTATATAGTTAATGTGTTTTCAACTGTGAACAAACATTCGACTCAGTAGTTATGTAGTACTTAATTGGTTTTTCAAAAATATGTATAACACTTTTTGATGTTTTACGAATGCATTATTAATTAGACATGAAGAGTTAAACTGATCAGTGAGTTGTATGACACATAACATACCTGTTTCTGTTAATTTTGATAAATCCAATTTTGATATGTGTTTTTCGTATAACTCTATTCGTGATTGACCATTCATTTCATTGAAAGATGTAATAAACCAATCAAAACCTAATTCATTATCGATTAAACATGCTTCATGATTCGTGATTAATGTTAACCATAATTCTTCTGCACGACGTAATACTATATACATACGTGCTTTTTTCAACATATACGCCAGTAAATCTAACTCAATTTTTAAGCATTCTTTGTATGTATGACGTTTATCGATGAGTGTATCTGAGCTTACATTTCCATTAGTCTGTATCCACACATCATGCTGACACCGACCTATAGTTTGTATTAAATATAAAATCAAATCATTTTTATCTATTAAAAAGTGTATAATTTCTCTATCAAATTCGACTAATTTCATTATATAACGGTAAGATGGGACAATCCATTGTAAATTATAGTTTTTTATACAGTCCATAGATTTTAAACAATAGTCATGTTTTAATTTACGATTTAAATAATGACTACCACTGGAAATATCACGCTGGCAGGATAATAGGCGATCAATCATAGAACACGGTGAATTTTCGTCATATGCCATAGTCCATAGAATTTCTAATATCTAAGACACCAAAAGAAACGGTAACTAAAACAACTTTTCAGAAAAAAACTTACCCTCTCTGAATGTTGCATATTCCTTACTGTATGCCCAATTTTGTTTAATAAATCAACTAGTTTGTCTTGTGTCGCATTTGTTGCAGATTTCCAGAGCTAAATAACAAATGATTTTAATAGTCTCTACATTGCTTTCGAATGAGATATAGATCTGTCACACTGTAAAAGAGTGTTTAATAATAAATCGAAAAGATTCAAGAGTTCTGAAGAACAAATCATGAATTTAGATAATGCAATGGTTTTTCTTACCGATTTTTCCAGCCTCCAAAATTTACAAAAGACATTTAGTTGTTAAAGTAGGAGGCTCTCAAGATTCATTATTAAACCTTTCCCTTTTCAAACTACATCTTTCTATATAAAAAACTGATTTTAGCAGATACTTTGTGCCTCAACTACTCAGAAGAAAGTTTTATCCTTACTACTTTTGCATGATAACTCAGAAAGCTGTGAAAGTTGTGTGAGTTTTTAAGTCCCGAACAATTTTCTTTTTAATTATAAAATAAACCTAAGATGAAATGAATCAAATTAAATTAGTTTTTCATAAGATTTAAAAATGTATTTGATTTCAAATGGATCAAAGGAGTTTGATTTCCTATTACATTTCTCTACAATCATAAGAAACTTACTTCTGAAATTAAATCAATTAAACATTCGAATTGTTCCGAATTGAATTCTTCACATGCTGATAACAATAAGGTAAAACTATGATCGTTAAGCAATATCGATTGATTATACTATAAGAAGAAAAAAAAGAATTTCATTCGTTTATTTAATTTACAATACCAGATGACATTTCCTCCTGAAATAGTCCATTTCATCGTCGATCGATAGAAAATGAAATTTTCACGTAGTTTGACCCATATTAAGTCCTAATGAGTCTTTTTTTTCGCTGCACGATACACGGCCGGAATGACCTAGTGAGAAGGGTGAACTTAAAGGTTAAAAGTATAAAAATCGGATTGTACATATATAAAAAGGATTATCGTGAAGTTTTGGTTCATCTTTGGTGCACTTTATGAGAGAAGTAATTACAAGTTCTGCCATCGTGGTGGCGTCAGTTGTAATTACTCCAAAATTAACATCCCTAGGAAAGCATTAAAACTCCATGATAGACCTTTTTGTATATGGACAATCCGATTTTTATACTTTGAACTTTTAAATTCATCCTTCTCACTGGATCATTCCGACCATATGAGATTGCTTCTCCTGTCGTGTAAACTTAGGAAACAGAATGGAAGCATTCCACTTGTATATTACTTGAAAAGAATAAGTTTAAAAGCATATATTTCGATGGTAGGATTAGATTTTCTACATATATGTCTCTTTCCCTATTAAAAAAATTATACGCATTCTTGAGGATATATTCTTCTTATTTACAGTTTGTATGTTGTAATTAAAAGTTAAATTAGTTCAAATTAAAATTTTGATTTTTCGTACTCTCTCTCACGGAATACTTTCCTTTATGCCTGTATACCCCATAAGTAAGATTACCAGAGCATTATGGGACAGGACCGAAAGAAAACTGTGTTAGTGTTCTCCATTTATGGCTATTCGCCGTCGATGTATTGCCCGGTATGACTAGCTAGAGACATTTTGGTATAAGTTCACTTTATGAGAAACTTAAGTAATCCAGATTTTGACTATTCCATCGTAAAGAGCATCACTTAAAACCTATAAATTGATAAAAGAAACTTGGCGGCAAACACTCGAAACCCAAAACAAAATTCAATTTACTCTCATTAGTACCTGAGGGGGACCAGAGGCACAAATTTTGGACAAAATTTTTTTCTGCTAAATATACATCATTGAACGCAGTTTCGTATGTAGATTACGAATATAGTTTTGGTTTTGAATAGAAAATTCTAAAAACTTCGCTCGATTCCTGAGGGGGACCAAGGCAAGAAGTTATGACGAAAAAATGTTTTTTCAGAAAATCACATCATTCTGTTTGGCTTTGTACGTAGATTATGAATATCATATTTATTTTTAATACAAACTTTGTATGGTTGCGAAAATGATATGAATTTATATTTATTAAGAGATTAAGAATGTTTATGATATTCATTAGTCAAGCATATTTTATCTCAATGGATAATTGAAAATTCAATTGTGTCTGAAGCTTTGAAAGGTATGAGTATATAGAGTCAATTTATCGAAGTTAAAAATCGAGCATCATCTTTCTTTTTAGGAAATATAAACAACTCTCACTATATAACAAATACTTGTAAACTATTCAAATTTATCGGATCAAAACTAAGAAAGACAGATATCGAGATGATATGGAAAGCAGAGGTTGGTTTACTTTCCTATAAAGGAGTTCTATTTTCTTCTGAAAGAAACTTGTTTCAATGTCAATCGATAAAAAAGTGATCCATTTATATAGTCTTCGACATTTTTGTAACATGAAACACTCAACATGTTGAGTATTTCATATTATAAAAGTATCTGTTGCAACAGACATTTCATAAACAAATCGAAAACAGGCGACACATATTCCCTCGCTAAATGAGCTCGTTCTATCCTAAAACTACTTTATTCGTTAGTCTGCTTTTTTAATTGTTCAAGTAATGAACATCTCTAATCAACTTTCACGAAAGAATGTTTCAAATAAAACTAATATTATATAACGAGTTAATCAAATGATATACGATATGTTCATTAAAAATGTCGGAACAAGTTCACTTTATGAGAAACTTAAGTAATCCAGATTTTGACTATTCCATCGTAAAGAGCATCACTTAAAACCTATAAATTGATAAAAGAAACTTGGCGGCAAACACTCGAAACCCAAAACAAAATTC